CCCCCCCCCCCCCCCCCCCCCAGCAAAAGCAGAGACGAGCAGCCTTGTTCAAGGTAAGTGCCGATACTCGCTGGATGACGCCAACGCTTTTTCTCACGTTTTCCGCGTGGTGAATCAGATGATTACCTCGAAAAAGGTGATGTGGGCAGCAGCTCCGCTGAGTGTTTGTTTTTCTGTGGCGGGATGCTACATGCGGGACAACGCCACTGCCTTTCTTTGACGCAGATTCGCGCAGTGAATCGAATGATTCTACCGAGAAAGGTGATGCTGGAAACAGCCTCGCTGCCCCTTCCCTCCTGGAGAGCGTAGTGACAGAAGAAGAGCGGCCAAGCAAATGCTCAGCCACCTCGTGTCTTCCCACGTTGGTGACCACACCGCTCCCAGCTATCGGTGCCCTCCTCTCTGAGCTGCCCAACATAATCCAGGAGGCTGCTGACACAAAGGGACTTTCCGTCCCTCGCCTCCTTCCGCCCCGATCGAATGATCTGGCGGAAAGGTTTGGCTCCGCCCCGGCTCGTCGCCCTGACCCCATCTGGCCCCGCTGTCCAGCTGTGACATCACACTGGAACGAGGCTGCAGCTGGGCTCGGTAAGCTGAAGACACCCGTCTCCACCTTCGCCTCCATCTCCAGAGTGGAGGGCTTTACCGATCTGAGTTTTTCCCTCGGTTCCCCCCCGGAGCCAAGCCTGGTGGAGGCGCTTGGGGCAAAAGCTTCCAGGATGGACCAGCAACCTGTCCCTCCAGGGAAGCATGACCAGATGGTGACAAAGCTCTCCAACCGAGCTCACCAGTGCTCATTCCAGGCGGCCGAGGTGAACAACAATGTCGCCCTGCTGGCTTACAACATCTCAAAGAGGCTGGAGGAAGCAGACCTGCTGGAGGAGACAAAGAGCTCTCTCTGTAAAGACGCTGATGTCATCTTAAACATGTGCGCCACCTCTGCGGTCTGCCTGTTCTGCATCGTCGCCTGGATGACCATGATCCAGAGGACCACGTGGCTCCGCCTCTCACCATCCTTGTCCGAGAGGATGCAGAGAGACCTGCTGGAGAGCCCCATCACCCCAGAGGTGCTGTTCGGGGCCAACTTCAGGACCATCCCTGAGAAATCGCAGAGGTCCGAGGAGGTCTCAGAGACTGTACACCATCTGGTGATGTCACAGTCCTCCTCCCGCCCCTCCGGCTGATGGAGGGACCGCCCTAGCCAGCAACAGCAGCAGAGGCGCTCCACAGCTGCGGCAGTGACTTCACGCTCCGCTCCGCCCTCTCCACCAGGGAACAGCTCCTTGAAGGGAATG